TGGTATGTTAACAACAAGAAGAAAGTCAAGGAAAGTGTGGGCCCCTTACTGAATGAGGGAGGCAACCTAGTGACAGAGGATGTGGAAAAAGCTAATGTACTCAATGATTTTTTTGCCTCTGTCTCCATGAACAAAGTCAGCTCCCAGACTACTGCACTGGGCAGCCCAGTATGGGGAGGAGGTGACCAGCCCTCTGTTGGGAAACAAGTGGTTCAGGACTATTTAGAAAAGCTGGAGGAGCACAAGTCCATGGGGCCAGATTCACTGCGTCCGAGGGTGCTAAAGGAGTTGGCTGATGTGATTACAGAGCCATTGACCATTATCTTTGAAAACTCATGGTGATCGGGGGAGGTCCTGGATGACTGGAAAAAGGCTAATGTAGTGCCCATCTTTAAAAAGGGGAAGAAGGAGAATCTGGGGAACTACAAGCCAGTCAGCCTCACCTCAGTCCCTGGAAAAATCATAGAGCAGGTCCTCAAGGAATCAATTCTGAAGCACTTAGTGGAGAGTAAAGTGATCAGGAACAGTCAGCATGGATTCACCAAGGGCAAGTTGGCAGCCAGTATCAGGCAGAGTGCCTCAAGGGTCGGTCCTGGGGCCGGTTTTGTTCAATATCTTCATTAATGATCTGGAGGATGGCGTGGATTGCACCCTCAGCAAGTTTGTAGATGACACTAAACTGGTAGGAGTGGTAGATATACTGGAGAGTAGGGATAGGATACAGAGGGACCTAGGCAAACTAGAGGATTGGGCCAAAGGAAACCTGATGAGGTTCAACAAGGACAAATGCAGAGTCCTGCACTTAGGACGGAAGAATCCCATTCACTGTTACAGACTCGGGACTGAATGGCTAGACAGCAGTTCTGCAGAAAAGGACCTAGTGGTTACAGTGGATGAGAAGCTGGATATGAGGCAACAGTGTGCCCTTGTTGCCCAGAAGGCTAACGGCATTTGGGGCTGTATAAGTAGGGGCATTGCCAGCATTGCCAGCAGATCAAGGGATGTAATCATTCCCCTCTGTTCAACATTGGTGAGGCCTCATCTAGAGTACTGTGTCCAGTTTTGGGCACCACACTACAGGAAGGATGTTGAAAAATTGGAAAGAGTCCAGCAGAGGGCACCGAAAAATATTAGGGGGCTGGAGCACATGACTTATGAGGACAGGCTGAGGGAACTGGGATTGTTTAGTCTGCAGAAGAGGAGAATGAGGGGGGATTTGATAGCTGCTTTCAACTACCTGAAAGGGGGTTCCAAAGAGGATGGATCTAGACTGTTCTCAGTGGTATCAGATGACAGGACAAGGAGTAAGGGTCTCAAGTTGTAGTGGGGGAGGTTTAGGTTAGATATTAGGAAAAACTTCTTCATTAGAAGTTTGGTGAAGCACTGGAATGTGTAACTTAGGGAGGTGGTGGAATCTCCTTCCTTAGAGGTTTTTAAGGTCAGACTTGACAAAGCCCTGGCTGGGGTGATTTAGTTGGGCTTGGTCCTGCTTTGAGCAGGGGGTTGAACTAGATGACCTCCTGAGGTCCCTTCCCAATCTATGTTTCTATGTTTCAGTGATTTGCCCTATTTATTTATTTATTTTAACTCTCAGGCCATGAGGTTTCCACTACTTGTCTCTGTGTACCCACTTGTTCCCCCCTCACCCATTCTATTGTCCCTCATTTCCCTCATGGTGCCAGGGGTTCTGTATGCCCCTTCATCCCCCTCCCCCCCTCAACTATTCCATGGCCCTCCACTCTGCCCCCATGCCAGGGTCTTTTTGTGCCCCTCCCATTTCTACCTTCAACACACAATGACCATGAGTCCCAGTTGGGGCTCTGTTTGTCCCCCATTTCCCTTGTGGCTGCTCCTGTTTTACCCTACTTGTGTTTCAAAACCACTTCCTTACTGGATAGCAGAGACTTTCCATTATAATATTTGTTTAATCAACCCCCCAATTTTCTGTCCAAAGGAAATTTCAGCAGCCTATTTTTTGCCAGCCCTGTGTTGAAATCAATTGGTAGAAACTCATTGACTTCATTGGTCTTTGGACCAAATTAATAATCTTCCTTTTCTATAATTATACCAATATTGCCTGGTAAAATGGGTGAGTCTAGGACTTTTCTTCTCCCCTCTAAAGTTATTAGTTTAAGTCAGAACTAGGGCTGTTAAATGATTAAAAACTTATGCACGATTAGTCACAAGATGAAAAAAGTGAATTGCAATTAATCACAGTTTTAATCGCACTGTTAAACAATATTACGACACCAACTGAAATGTATTATAAATATTTTTAATGTTTTTCTACATTTTCAAATATATTGATTTCAATTACAACACAGAATACAATATGTACAGTGCTCACTTTATATTATTATTTTTCATTACAAATATTTGAACAGTAAAAAAGATAAACAAAAGAAATATTATTTTTCAGTTCACCTCTTACAAGTGTGGCAGTGCCATCTCTTTACTGTGAAAGTGCAACTTACAAATGTAGATTTTTTTGTTATATAATTGCACTCAAAAACAAAACAATGTAACTTTTGTAGTTTGTGTTGTAATTGAAATCAGTATATTTGAAAATGTAGAAAAACATCCAAAAATATTTATAATTGGTGTTCTATTATTGTTTAACAGTGCCATTAAAACTGTGATTAATCACACTAAATTTTTTTTATTCTATTTAATGTTTTGAGTTAATTAGATGAGTTAACTGCGATTAATTGACACTCCTAGTCAGAAACCTTTGAGGTTAAATTTCCCCTTATTTCATTGCATAGCCATTGAGGTTGGAAGTTTGACTCATTACTTTTTTATGTCTAAACTAAAGTATAAACATTATTACCTTTCATTTTTCGGGTAATTTTGTAGTCCCATCAGCAGAAATGCCGAGGGACATTTGAACCTTCTCGTGGGAAGGAGGAGGAGAATGGCATGTTAATTTAATTGAAAACATAGAATAAAAGTGAGCCAAGATGGATGGCAGAGGTGGGTTGTTCAGTCGGAACTCTGCAGGTCTCTTTGGTGAGTCCATTTGAGTTTACAAAGTAGAAGGGAAAGAAAGACAGAACCTGGATCCTGAGATTCTGAATGAAGAAGTTACCTGAAAGATTCCAGTTGGCCACTGTCTCAGAGGTAAAGCAACTTTGTTCACTCTTTCCAGTTTAAATGAAATACTTTGATTTAGAGAAGTAAACATACCTACTCTGTCCTGCTACACAGAATGTGTTTGCTTTACTGATACTGTGACACTGAGTAGATGAAAGGGCAATGTTAGTGGCTATACAGAAAGACACATGTAAGGAAAGAACAAAGAGCACACCTCATCTTTATTGGCTCGCCATTATTTCCATTAGCCACAAGACTGTCATTTTCCCCCTCAAACACATGTGTTTTCATTCTCGTAAAATCAGGGTTTAAAAAAAAAAGTAAGACCTGGACTACCCAGAGTTTTTGCATCTATTTCTGTATTTCTGATAGGGGTGTAATTTTCTACTTAAATAGCATTAACACTACAATTCCTAGTGTGGACACTGATATATGGATATAAAGGTGTCTAATACTGATATAGCTTATTTCCCCTGATTGGTAATAACTTAGCACCTTCATACGGATATCATAGCATCTGCACTGGGTGGGTTGTACAGTTTTAACAATACCAGCGTGGTACAAATGTTGTGTGTAGATGAGCCCTCAGTTTCTCCTTCTCTCTCACGCAGTGACTTCTTTGTTCCTGTACCCTCTTGGTTTTCAATCTATTTTCTATGAATTTATATTCTGCACCCTTGTATCTGAAAAGACTTGAGTCCCTGTGTTTGTCCTTTGATCAGTGTTGGGGTACAAATTTCAAAAGCACCTATTATTATTATTGTTTTCAAAAATCACCTATAACAACAACAACAACAACAACAATAATAATAAATAATAATAATAATAATAATAATTAATTATTATTATTATTATTATTATTATTATTATTAGCTGTCTTTGTCTTACAGTAGCTCCCTGGGCATAGACCAGGACCCTACTGTGCTAGGCACTGTAGAGAGGTAGAACAAAAAGATGCTTCTTGCTCCAGAGAGCAAAATCAATGGGATTGTTCACAGTACTAAATTTAATCCTGTGCGTAAGTGTTTGCAGGATTGGGGCTTTATTGTAAGACTGATAGACTGCAAGTCAACACTGAGAGGGAAGCACAAAGAAACAATGAGACAACCCTGGTGGTTAAGAGAGGTGGTAGTCTTAGCTCACCAGGGGTGAGATTTTCAAAAGTGCCTAAAGGTGTTTAGTGCCCAAATTCCACTGACTTTGAAATTCCAGCCCTGATTCAAATACTGTTATTCACAGAATCATAGAAATGTAGAGCTAAAAGAGGCATCAAATCCAGCCCCCTAGATTATTCCTGACAGGCGTTTGACCAACCTGTTTTTAAAAAACTCCAATGGTAGGGATTCCACAGCCTCTCTTGGAATCCTGTTCCAGGGCTAAACTACTCTTTGAGTTAGAAAGTTTTCTGATATCTAACCTAAATCTCCTTGCTGCAGATTAAGTCCATTGCTTCATGTTTTACGTTCAGTGGGCAGGCAGAACAATTTTTATACTTTACTTTATAACAGCCCTTCCCCATAGTTGAACACTGTTATCAGATCCCTCTCAGTCTGCTTTTCTCAAGACTAAGCATGCCCAGTTATTTTAACCTTTCCTCCTAGGTCAGGCTTTCTAAACCTTTTATCATTTTTTGCTCTCCTCTGGATTCTCTCCAATTTGTCTTCATCTTTCCTAAAGTGTGGTGCTCAGTACTGGAGACAATGCTCCAGCTGAGGCATCACCAGTGCTGAGTAGAGCAGGACAATTACTTCCTGTGTCATAGGTACAAGACTCCTGTTAATACAAACCAAAATGATACTAGCCTTTTTTTGCGCCTTTTTCACATTGTTGACTCATATTCAATTTGTGATCCACTATAATCCCCAGGTCCATTTCAGGAGTACTACTGGCAACTAGCCATTTATTCCTCATTTTGTAGTTCTGCATTTTTTTCCTTCTAAATGTAGTACTTTGCACTTATATTTACTGAATTTCCTCTTATTGAATTCAGAACAATTCTCCAATTAGGGAAATTAGTCTGTCTCCTCAACTAAGTCAATGACACAATAAAAAATTGGGTGAAGCAGGTTTAGAACATTTATTGAATTAATTGATGATACAGCAATAGAGTTAATCTCCTTCAGATTGTAATGATGTAATATATTCTTTTTTGTTTTTGCCCTAGACACAATCCATGGCAGACACAGAGCAGGGAAATCAAACATCTGTCACGGAGTTCATCCTCTTGGGATTCGGGGATCTTGTTGACCTCCAGATCCTTCTCTTTCTGCTGTTTCTAGTGATCTATATTGTGACTGTCACTGGGAACATCCTCATTGTGGCGCTAGTTGTGGCTGATCAGCACCTTCACACCCCCATGTACTTCTTCCTGGGGAACCTGTCCTGCTTGGAGACCTGCTACACCTCCACCATCCTGCCCAGGATGCTGGCCAGTTTCCTGACTGGGGACAGAACCATTTCTGTCAGTGGTTGTATTGCACAGTTTTATTTCTTTGGTTTCCTAGTGACTGTTGAGTGTTATCTCTTATCTGCAATGTCTTATGATCGTTACTTAGCCATATGTAAACCACTCAATTATGCAGCCATCATGAATAATGCAATTTGTAGACAACTAGCATCTGGATCTTGGATGACTGGATTCTTAGTTAGCATCATCATCATATTTTTAATATCAAAATTAACATTTTGTGGCCCCAGTGTAATTGACCATTTCTTTTGTGATTTCACCCCAATAATAAAGCTATCCTGCAGTGACACCCACATGATGGAACTTGTCACTTTCATGCTGACATTTATAACTACCCTGCCCCCATTTCTATTAACCCTGGCAACCTATGTTTATATTATATCTACCATCCTGAGAATCCCTTCTACCACCGGGAAGCAAAAGGCATTTTCCATCTGCTCCTCTCACCTGATTGTAGTTACAATTTTCTATGGGGCCATAATGATTGTCTACATGCTGCCAAAAACTGACACATTGCGAGATCTGAACAAAGTGTTCTCTGTCTTGTACACAGTTCTGACTCCACTGGTCAACCCCCTCATCTACAGCCTAAGAAACAAAGAGGTGAAGGAGGCCCTCAGAAAAGCTGTCAGGAAATGTTTGGCTTTCACAAGAATGTAGCAAATTAGATTGAATGTTATGAGGTTAAAATGAAATTGAGGTAAGCTGAGCTGATTTACTGAGTCAAAGATGCAATCAGGATGGTCTGTATCGGGTCATATTTAGCTAGTGGGTGAAAGTAAGGATGAAACCTGGTTAAAAAATGTAATTTTTTTTCTGAAATTTTAACTGTTTTAACTTTTAATTTTAAAAAAGTTTTATAATTTCAAGAGAATTTTTCATATATCACAAAATCCTGACCAGCCCTAGTGAGGATATCGGCTGTAGGTGATGTTTCTTAACTAGGTTTACAATTGGAGTGGGTAAGAACAGTCAAGTAATAGTTCATGTAATAATTTGATATTTTTCTGAATGTTACTAATTCTTTTTTTTTGTTGTTTTTCAATAGAAAACAAGTATGTGTCAGCTTTCCCAAAACCAAAAACTTTTTTGAAAACCAATTTTTATAGTAAACCAAAAAAAAATGTCAATATTAATTTGTCTTTTGATTTTTGTTTGTTGGTTTTGGTTGTTGTTGGAAAACTGGAAATAATGAAAATTTGGATGAAAAAAATATGTTTTGTTCAAAACGCCATTTTTCATCCGAAAATGTTTTGCCAAAAACGTTCACCTTGGACTTGTATTTTTGTGTGTGTATGGAGTTTCAGAGCAGTCTGTGAAATTGAGGCCAATGAAGTGGTTAATACAAATTCCCCATAACTACTGGCTATGCAAAAAACCTGCCTTTTGAAACCTTTGTCTGATGATTACCTGGTCTCAGAGACTGGACACCAAAAACCCGTGCTGTATAAAATTCATGCTTGTTCTGGTTCTGAATATGAGACATTGATGGACTGGTAATCATGGGGAAAACCCAGTTGTGGGTTCTAAAGGACTGACACCTACCAGAGTCCAAGGTTGGAGTTGGTGGGGCCGGGGTGATCTATTGTTAAGCATTTTAGCATGTGAGTAGGTTCTTTTATTACTTTAAGTATGTTCTCTCTTTAAGGCTTTTTCCTTAAGAATAAATGTATTTGCTTAGAAAGAGCTATGTTGTAATTTATGAATTCTGGTAATTAGGTTATTACAGTAGAACCTCAGAGTTACGAACACCATTGTTACGAACTGACCAGTTAACCACACACCTCATTTGGAAACAGAAGTACACAATCAGGCAGCAGCAGAGACCAATAAAAAAAAAGCAAATACAGAACCATACTGTGTTAAACATGAGCTACTAAAAAATAAAGGGAAAGCGGCATTTTTCTTCTGCATAGTAAAGTTTCAAAACTGTATTAAGTCAATGTTCAGTTGTAAACTTTTGAAAGAACAACCATAACATTTTGTTCAGAGTTACGAACATTTCACAGTTATGAACAGCCTCCATTCCTTAGGTGTTTGTAACTCTGAGGTACTACTGTAATAGCCTTCAGAGAGAAAGCAAAGTGCAGGTGCTGGCCTTTTAGGCAACTGGGCTTGCTGGGTTATCACAGTGTAGTCAGGGAACTTGAGCAGCCAGGAAACACCTCAGACAGGAGGGAGAGCAACATGAGTCTCTGCCCAAGACAGGTGATGGCTGAGGAGGCAGGAGCCTACAGTGGGTGTGTTTGAGGGACCATGAAGGGGAAATACAGGTGCAGTTGCCTTGAATGTTGACAATTACAATAATAAAGAAGGCTGGTGGATCTTACTGGGCTGTTACTCTGTCTCCTGGCCTTGATATACTTCCTCTCCAGTGTCCATCCCTGAACATGTCCTCAAACAATGGTCCAAAGACCCCACCTAGCCCATGTGGCAGCCTGGACTGATCCCAGGATTCCCGTGGTGGTGGGATGGCAAACATAATGTTGATTTGATCATAGCAGGGACATATTGAGCATCTTGGTCTTTCAGTATATGGTCTTCACATGCTTCATCCACTCCTTGCACTGCACAATGTCCAGTTCAGGTGGATATATCTGAAGCTCCTCCTGAATCATTGTCTGTGATATATTGGATTGTACTCGCAGCCAAGATTAACACTGTGAGGGGTGGATGTCTTCTAGCAAGATGGCAGGGATGAACTATACTGATTTGGGAAAATGAAGGGTTAAATGCCAAGTAAGGATATATGAATTAGCTGGTAGCTTCTGAAGGGTGGAAGTAAACAGACAGAAGGGCTGGAACATACAGATGCAGGGAATTGTGGGAATGGCAGTGGAGGACTATTGAGAGTCAAGGCCAAGTTGACACACCTTTGCTACATCCACACTGCAAAGAGGGTAACTTTCTCTCATAAATTCATAGTTTAGTGCTTTAGAGAATATTATTGATAGGCATTACTGATGGGAATTTTGCTATCTCCACATAGTGAGTTTTGGCTGAAATAGCCCTAAAACAGTTCCCAACATACATGGAATTTTAAAAGAACGCCTTTAAAAATGAAATAGAAAATAGTAATTTTTTTTAAAAAACAGGACACTGAGTCTCCCTACACATGACAGACTTTCATTTTTTTGTATACCCAACTATAGATCTGCATAGAATACTGCCCAATCAAAGTTCTCCACTCACCGTGTCGGCAACATTTTCCACCTACTTTCAGATGCATAATTGACAACAGAGGATCCTAATCAGAGGAGAATGAATGTCATTTGCTTCAGTGGGAGTGGAAGAGACCAAGAACCACTCAAAAGTTGTTAAGCTCCTTGCAGAATTTGGGCACTAGTCTTCATGTACGGATAAAATATGGATGCATGAAGCACAGTGCTTTACTGAAATGTGTGTCTGGAAAAAAAAAACATTTTTCATAAAGAATGTCTCTTACAGTATTAGTTTATGTGTAAAGAAATGTGCATTAAACGTATGAAAGATTAATGCTGAAAAAGTATCAGAGTAACAGAAAGAAAGAAAGAAAGTTTAAGTAAGGTCAATGAGGGGGTAATCCTGTTCTCAAGGACTCAAATGGGTAATGTCTAAGAAACTATATCAGTTCATCTCTATTTTACTATATGCTAATCTGCTTTAAGCTAAGCTTCTTTCTTTCTTTCTTTCTTTCTTTCTTTCTTTCTTTCTTTCTTTCTTTCTTTCTTTCTTTCTTTCTTTCTTTCTT